GTATTATTTCAGCTTTCTTCATCCGTCCGTTCTACAAGATGATGTTGGGCAAGTCTATAGCGCTGCAGGACATGGAGTCTGTCGACCTCGAGTACTACAACTCTCTCATGTGGATCAAGGTACTACTGCACACTAAATATTTCATTCGCTTCCTTCGAACCTGGATACGCGAGAATATATCTTGCTCCTCTGTATTCTCGCTCATCCAGTTTGGACTGTATACATACGTACAGTTGAATTCAAATAAATATTATTTATGCCTTTGACTGGATAACATTTATTGTCTATGAATATATTTTGGAACGTTTCACTATTTTATTGTCTATGATACAATCTTATAAAGGTAAACTATTAAGATTAGTTATAATTTCTTATTTATAATAAATTGTCGCTTACAACTTCGTCAGCGTAGAATAAGAAAAAAATTAAAAAAATCTTAGACTGTTAAATAGTCTAAGTTTTTTTAATTTTTTTAAAAAACATTGGCATTTATAATATTAAGTAAGATAATAAATAAAACGACATGTTGTTAGTTATAATATTGTTGAAAGATGTTGAATGCGTAATGTTGGTGTTATCAGGAAAACGATCCGTCCGAGCTGTACCTGACGTTCTCAGTGGACGAGGAGCAGCTGGGCAAGACGGTGCAGCGCGAGCTGAAGCCCGGCGGCGCCAACATACCTGTTGATAATGATAACAAGTTCGAATACATCAAGTAAGCTCACTTTACACATACATTTTAAAGGCATTGAAGTTATTAAATATAAGCAATTGATAAAACATAGAATGAATTATTTACTTTACTTTATTTTACTTTATTTAGTTAAGAGAGGGCGTAGTTTGGTGACCGCCCAGGGCGCCGGGCATAACGGCACACCGCAGGCGTTAGAATCGAACATAAAAGGGCGCCTGTGACGCCCCCTAAGATTATATTATCTCTTTGGAAGTTTTTCCCGAAACCTGAAATTCTAAAAAAACTATATCTGTACTTAACTTCAGCTTCAGAGAATATATTTTGCCGTTTTTATTTTTATTAACACATAAGGCTCCGGCGTTTGTTCAGATTGGTGATCCAGTGGCGTTTCGTGAGCCGGGTGCAGGAGCAGATGTGCGCCTTCCTGGAGGGTTTCGACGGTCTGGTGCCGCTGCCTCTGCTGAAGATCTTCGACGAGAACGAGCTGGAGCTGCTGGTGTGCGGCATCCAGCACATCGACGTGCGCGACTGGCGCGCCAACACGCTCTACAAGGGCGACTACCACGCCAACCATCTCGTCGTGCAGTGGTTCTGGAGGGTCAGTTATTATTTACTAAATATTTGATTTTTTTTGTATTTTGATGTAGAACATAGTCTGGAATAACACTGAGGCTACTAATTAAAGTTTTTTAAATCCTGCGCGGACAGAGTTGCGGGCGACAGCTAATATGTTAAGGATATAATTGTTGTGCGTCAGGTGGTGCTATCGTTTTCGAATGAGATGCGTTCCCGGCTGCTGCAGTTCGTGACGGGCACATCGCGTGTGCCAATGAACGGCTTCAAGGAGCTGTACGGCTCCAACGGACCCCAACTCTTCACCATCGAGAAGTGGGGCACCCCTGACAACTACCCCAGAGCGCATACATGGTAAAATTATTCTCAATCATATTTTTTTGCTTTTTGGCAAAACGTGAGAGCGGCCACACGATGCTCATAGACATCCGCAATTCTGTATAAGTAGGCGACGCATCTTTGTGCGTTTTTCACTTCCTATGCATCCCCTCCTCTGACCATATTATCTTTATAAGAAAAAGGTGGGAAGTGAAAGAGGACTAATTTTAGAACACGTTGACCACGTATGTAAGTTTAGATAGAAATCTCTAAATTGTATAAGTACTTTGAATAAATATAATATAATGTGTACTTTGTTGTCAGTTTCAACCGCATCGACCTGCCGCCGTACGAGAGCTACCAGCAGCTGCGGGAGAAGCTGATAAAGGCCATCGAGGGGTCGCAGGGCTTCGCGGGCGTCGACTGAGGGCCGGCGCATGCGCTGCGCTCGCTGGCGCGTCGTCTGCTGCTGCCCCGCCCCCGACACCGCCCGCTGCCCCGCCCACTGCCCCGCCCACACACAACGCCCCTCTGACACACACACTACAGATTTACCAACGTATACATCACTAAGTGCCACCTATCTTTATCACTTTAAATATTTCACATTCGTGTAATTACTATTTTAAAGCTTTTACAGATTCTAAAACTAAAATATTTACTAATCCATGGTTTATAGTCAAGTTAAAAACGTTCACTTTACCATCCTACCTATATAACCTACGTGAAAACAGTTACATAAACATTACATAATGTAATACATAATAATAAACTTTATATATAAATATACATATGACGAAAAACTTTAAAGTAACAGTTTATAGTCATACTATAAACGTTATTTCACATAAAGTATTCAACAAAAGCAATAAGTTCCTTAATATCTTATATACAGTAACCGCGTGCTAGTAAAGACAGCTTTGTTAGTCAGATTTTAGGCAAAATAGAATATAACGAAAAAGTTACAATATTTAGTATGATATGTTATGTCATAGTTTCAAAAGAGATGAGACAACGAATTTATAACTAACTGTAATTGCTAATTGTCAATTTACATGAGCAAGCCTTTTTAAATTGTAGAGATTAAAAAGAACAAATTTTAATATTGATTGCATTCGCAAAATCTTTTCACTAAAATAGATTTTAATGAAGCTTCAAAATAGATAAAGATAATTAAATATTTTTTCAATGGTAATGAACAAAATGTACAGTCATTTTAACTTTGGAAGGCGTGCATACTATACTTGTGGGAGGGGCTTAAATATGAAACGCCTTTGAACACGACAGCCAATCACAGCGCTCGGTTGTGACTCTTTAGATTTTAAATTTAATTTTTTTCGCGTCCACTTGTCTTTATTAATTTATTCATAGTAAATTATCAAATTAATTTGGTTATTAGAAAAATTACAAAATTGAAATGTTTTATATTTAAATTTATTATGTTGCAAATTACAATTCCAAGTATAGGATGCATGTCTTTTTAAGATAATTTAATAGTTTTGTATGTAAGTTCAATGCAGTATATATATATAATTCTATTATATATGTACTACATAGTTCTCAAGTTGGTGAATTTCTCTTTATTCCATTTAATATTAATTTCTGTAGCCACATCTCGAATAAGTTTTGCGATGCCGTTATAGAAATTTATAAGCTTATTTTTAGCTATATTTGACGTCCATACAAGTTACGAGGAACTATTTTAGTGTGCCATTGTGTATTTTTCATTTTAAAGGAATTTTGACACATCCTTGTCTTAAACTGTGCTTTTCCACTGTTCAAAAATATTGTTATCTATCTAGTTCTTTTTGAATTAAATTAAGATAAAATAAGTTTTTGTGATCATATCGTCAGTGGAAAACATTTTAAATAGCTCATACTAGTGTTTACTTTACTATTTTATAATAATATGGCTTTCAGATATTATATTTATGAGTATAGGTGTTTTTATCATTTCATTAAAAACTTTCGCTGTCATTGTTTATCTGTATTAATATTTGACAGATGTCAAAAGATTTTAATTATATTTTATCCATAGTAAGATTATTCAGGTGTTTAGTATTATGCAATAAAAATATCATATACGCTGCAAAATATTATTTTTTAAGTTAATTTGCATTTATGTAAGTTTTAGTTGGCGATATTGTTTATTCCTCAACTTGTATCGACGCGTCCAATTTGTATTATTTTCAGATTTCGCTTAAAAATAATAAAAAAAGCTTTCGCTTGAGAGGTTATAAAGAAAAGATATTTTCGTATTAGCATAGTACAAGTCACGAATCTTTGTGTCGAGCCATGTTTTGTTTCATTCTGTCTTTGGTATTTGTGTATGCGTTCGTCTCGCTCAGTTTATGAAATGCGGACTATTACGGCGCTAACTTCAGACAGGTAAAAGTTCGTGTCTTGTATTACATAACTGTATATAGTTTTGTATAAGGTGTAAAAAATTGCCACAGACTGTCTAAAATTAAGATTGTTTGTCCATGAAATGGAGTGAAATTCTATCATAAAAAATAATATATTATAGCTGTATCAAGCAATTGTTTACACCCTGTATTTATTTAGTTTTAATTAATTTTAAAGTCATTAATAATAATAATGCGTTTATTAAATCAAATACTTAATTTCTTTACATGGATACAGCTTTGTTTTTAATTCTGACAGGAGTGCTCTTTGTATGTCAGCCTGACGTGTGATGACGTAAGCAATAAATGACAGGAACTGTCAGATTACAATCGGGCTGTGGTGTGACATCACTACAGAATGCCTTTATGTATAAAATTATATGTCATAACTATTTATATAAATACGCCTAATTATTGTTTATTTAATTTGTTATATGTATATTTTATCTTATTACAATATTAATATTTTAATCAATAATAAAGTAGCATAAATTTGAGTATTGGTGTCTATGGATTCTCGTATCTTATAATAGTTTCTTATTCCTTGACTTCTACAAATATTTTACTGTCTGTATCCTTTCTAAGTCTATATTCTTTTCCTTAATTATTTTAAACCATTAGGCGCTATGAATGCCGTCCAAAATATAAAAATCAATATAAAGGGCACTCCGATATTCTATGTTTTGTGACAGTTATATTGTAATGTGACGGAAAAATCGCAATATTAAACGAACTAAATTGTTAATAAATATTTGATAAATTATTTTTTTCATATAAGTTGCCTACCTTTACATTCCATAAATTATAAAGGCTAGTCTTTATGAGTTGATCTGGATTCTAAAGTTAATTTAATTCTGTCCTTGAGTTTGTTTTAAATATCAAGCACTCGTCGGAATTCACCACTTAAATCCTGTATTAAATATAAATGTTGTCTATCTCTGTCACTCTCTCTCTGAAAGACAGAGAAAGCAGTATGTGTTAGTACAGGAGCTTCGTTTTTATTTCTCTAGATTATATTTGAAAGGTTTTTGTATTTTTAATATAAGCAACTTTTTCCGTCACCCAACAAAGTAATGATTCGCAAAGCATTATTGTATTCATTTGTATTACATTGAACAATCAAGTTTGAAGTCGGACGACGACAATTATATTATTATTATGATTATATCATTTGTAAATAGTTTAATGAAATTGAAAAGTTAAGGCAAATATAAAGTTATAATTTATTTGTTTATAGTTTCATTTATACCTCGTTTTACAGGTCACGGTTGGAATATTTATTCAAAGATAACTAGTTCTCTTAATATAATGACTATTTTATAACGTAAGTTTCCATTTGCCAAAACACTCGTGTATATCTCAATTTCTTCAACGAGAATAAGCATATAAAAATAAGTTGTGGTCCAAGTGTTTCGGCAGTGGAAACACGAGAAGATGAAGAGGAAAGCGCAGATTGTTATTGGTCATAAAATTTTATGAGCAGTGAAATGCGGATAGGAGACCACGACAAAACACTTGATAACTTGATTTTAATTATTTATATGTACACATACGAAATTACACAGACTATCGTGTTCAGTGTCATATGTTTGCGCAAGTAACACGTATTGCTTTATACTTTTTCCGATGGAAGATTCCGAAATTAAAAAAGTGGATTTACAAAATTCGGTACGACGACAAACTTGACCGATCGCTGATAGATACTAGGGGTCTAACGAAACGTCTGTCGCAAGCGCGGGCCGAGAGAAGGGCTGCAGACCTCCCCGAGGCGACATTGCACAAATACCTTTCGCAATTGTTTTTAAATTCCAGCACACGTGCGCCCGCGATGGTCAGTCGTCTCCCGCGCGCGCCACTGTGTGCCATTTAATTGACAAAAACCGCGCCAATTTTTAATCGGTTTGGCGCGAAGTGATTCTTCTTTTTTCCGTTATTGCGTTCAAAAACTGTTTCATAATAAAGAAATTAATACAGTTATTTTAATTATTTATTACAATATTAAATATTTTATTAACTTCGGACTTATTAAAGAAGAAATTTCTTTTATTTAAAAATTTGGATTACATAAAAATGAATAATTCTCTATTACTAATTTGGGATTTTGTATAAATCTGTAGTGAAATTAAATTATATTGTAAAAGTTCAATAGTGTAAAATATCAATGAGTGACAGTATTTAAAATAAGGTGCCAATATTTACATTCTAATCATGGGGTGGAACATGAAAGTGTTTCTGATCTTCGCTGTGCACTTATGTACGAGCATAAGTGGAAGTATTATCTCACTGAATGGTAAACAAATTACAGTTTGATATAAATAACTCACTTATTATTCCCTATGACATTTTGTGTCATAGAAGACGAAAACATCCAATAATGGCCCAATTTTTCTTCGCGCGAGTTCGGTCTTTTCCCGTCCACTCAGCAACCTATAAAATAATTGCTATATGGGCCCATTATTCTTAGATTTGATTTACTAATTTATTCCTGATCTCTCACTACAATTACCAACTCAAGAATTTCAGCGAGTTTCGTGTCTGAATAGAGCTGAATTAATAAAATAGTATATTGTGAAATATTAGAGACAACGTTCGCAACATTCCCGCCGCTGTACGCACTGGAGGAGTGGACGCGGTGCCAGGGCGCTGAGGACGTGTACTGCATGGTGGATGCCGCGCTTGTTGCTGGTACAAACTCCCGGTTGCTGCATCTGCTGCAGGTAATTACAACAATACCACCACCGGAGCAATACGCACTAGAGGAGTGGATGCGGTGACATTTCTAAGAGCACTCCAACAGAGAAATTTTCTCAAGACATTAAAAGAAATTTAAAATTAAAATTTTATTTTAATCGTTTAAGACTTTAAGTCGTTTCCTAGACAGCGTCTTAGTATTTGATTTACATAAATCATTGACAGCACGACTCTGTGGAAACTGAGCATATGCTTAATGTTTAGAAGAAAAGTCAGCATTAGCTACGCATGTCTAGTCTGTCCCACGCTAGTGTAATACCGGCTAAGAAATAGTCGGAGGTCGCGCAACTTGCCTTTGCAACGCGTTATGTCACCCCCAGCGGCCTTGACTTAAAATCTGCGCGAACGCAACCGCCTGAGATCATCGCAATGTTTATTTGTTTAACTAAATATCTTATTGCATTTATTAAACTATTATAGTTATATTATAATTAAACTATGATTAAGTAAAAAGTATATATATCTAAACCCAATGCGTGGAGCTCTGAAGTTGACCGGTGTCGCAAACTGACGCGACCAACAGTCGCTTGCATTTAAAATGACACCAGTGAATAGTGACACAAGTGAATACTACCAGTACACTATCAAACAAGATATATTTCCTCAATCATATTAAAGAATAGCTTATTGATGAATTAAACTTGATATGGCGCCAAACATTTGTTAAACGAGGTTGCATATTTAGGTGTATTACGTGCGGTGTTTTCGCAAATGAGGCCGTAGTAAATGAACGGTCAGGTTATAACGCTTGTGACCTAGGACAACTTGCACCAGCTGTTCGCAAACCTGTAATTTAATAAAGATTACATTTACATAGTTAATTAATATAAATTAATTCAATTCCATCTTATCACTTCTACGACAGATAACGCTATACTTATATATATGCTTTATAGGGGGATTGTAAGCTTGCGAAGTTACGCTTTAAAAGATCTAATATTTGTTTTTATTTATCCTCGTTTCTATTGAGGAGTAGTACAATTCTACATTGACGAATAATACGAAGCGATCTTTGCAGAAAGTGTCTTAACGGTATCCAGATCCAGGAAACGTCGTTTGCTTTCTTGTACTAAAAAAAAACATTACAATATAACATTTTAATATGTTCAAATACTGTTGTAATATTAAGGTTCTTGAACTATCAGAGTGGGGTAAGGTCACCAAAGCTCGCAGCTGCCTAGTGAATGTAAAACCGGTTGCTGTGCGTTTTCATTGACGAAACCTATACACAAAATCATATAGTCAACTTATTAATTCTCTTAGAAAAAACTAAAATAGATGTTTCGACCGTGGTCCTAGTTATGTTCAGATTTATTGCTGTTTGTTTAAACGTGTACACACCTAGGTCTTAATTATATATCTTATTTTATTTTCAATTTATAAATGCGAAAGTTTAGATGTATGGATAAATGTTTGGTAATCAGATCTTGATGAAATAAGTCACAGATGAAAAACATAGTTTGGAAGAACACATACGCGACTTATTAAGTTTTTTAAATTCGCGCAGAGTCGCGGTCGAAAGATATAGAAAGTCTTATATCATCATTATCATCATCATCAGCTCACTAAATCGGAAATCGAAAAACACATTGGTACATGGCGGGATTCGAAACCAAGACCTGCAGATTGCAAGTCAAGTGCTTGACGACCGAGCCACCGACGCTCCGTCTTATATATTTAAGGATATTGCTAGACCAATGTTTTTGCTGGTTACAGTTTATAACTGTGAGGATCATTCTATGGTTTAAAATTGGTACTACCCTTTGGTGGTACACAATGTTTTTTTATATAACCAACAGTAAACACACGTGTCATTTAAATATTCAAAACTTTTTATTAGGAAACATATGTATTCAAAATCAATGTTTCTGATGTTAGTGAATTGAAAATAACTTCATAATAAACGTATATTATTTTACTTTTAATAATTGCCCGGTTCCGCACTACATTGACAGGTGAAATGAAAAGGCCACTTAACGGGCCAATAACTTTTGACGCCTTCTCAGAAAACTTTTCGATAACAGAACCTTCACGATTTCCTCAAGTCTCAATGTTCGTAGGTCATTATCCTCTGATACAGGAACTAACATTTATAAATATTGTTATAAGTGTAAAATAAATACGGAAGCAAATAGATATAAGTAATATACACTGCAACGTAAATAAACGCTTTTTAAACTTCATTATAAGTATAATTCTAATTAAATATCTTTAATTTTGTTCTATGTCTAGAAATTACTTAGATTTTGAGTGATTATAATTAACAACGCAAGTTTGCTTGACAAACCAAGTCACCAATATTTAGGGCGAATCCTTTATTCAAGAGAATAATGTAATTTAATAAAGATATATAAAGGATAAAGAATGCATTCGCGACGTTAGTAGTCGATTATTCTCAACCTGGCAACGTTTATAAATCCGATGTAGGTGGTATTGACACCAATACCACATCTTGGCGCAAACCTTTGAATATAAAATAGCAACATATTGTCTACCTAATTGTGATATAATTTGCTTATAGGAGTACTCAGCACAGACACTAAAGCATTACAACAGGACGGTGATACACCGAGGGGTATGCGTGTCTCAATGCGGGCAGGCGGGAGATGACGGCGGTTGGACGGAGGCAGCACAGCAATGCGTCAACCAGAGCGTTCTGCAGTATGGACTTGAGGTAACAACAATGTCGTAATAGATGGAAATTGTCTAACTAGAAATTAGTATAGATGCACTAGCATGCAAAGTCTTTAGCCCAAGCATGCAGAGGACGTGGTAACAACAATTGATATGCATTAAGTTACGAAATAAACAACGTAATTACTTTAATTGCTGCACTTAATCCGTTAAATACAATCAAAGGAAATTCCTTAATTTATGAACATGAAAACATGATCTACATACACTAAGTAAGCGACTTAAGTAATGATGAACCTTAATCGCTGAAGAGCGCAAAAGATCCCAGGGTATACTAAGTGTGGTAAGTCTAGGTATGTGGTAACTCACATAAAGCATAATGAAAATTACAATGGATTTTCCATTCTAGTTAAGTATAGCAGTATCTCTTATATATATTTCGATATGTCGAAGAATGTAATTCTTTATTGTAGGCGGAGGTGATGTCAGCACAGTGGTGTACTTCGCCGAAGTCAGATCGTCCATCGAGCTCAGCTCGGTTCCTGGCTGTGCTCTGTATTGCTCTACTGGTGCTGGCTGTGTTAGCTACTGGTCTACATATCTTGGGAGACTGTTGCAGTACTGTTGAAGGTAAATTATATGCAATGGTATTATACTAGGTATTGATATGCTACAACTATATATGTTTGAATTATGAACATAATATGCTATCGATAATTGATTTGGCGCTGTGATATATGAGGTAGATGTTTCAATAGCATATTTTTTCTACAATTTTTTTAGAAGAATGTCGAAAAGATAGGTCTACTTACTTGATCAAAAGTTTACTACGGTTAGACTGACCGCCACTAACAAGGCAACCATAAAAGTAAAAAGGTTTTGCAGATTCTTACAATAATGACTTATTGGTTTAATTTTATTTTCAGGCAACAAATATTTATTAGCTTTTTCTTTAAAGCGAAACTGGTCTATACTAAATTACGACAGAACGAAACCACGGAGTGATGATCGTATGAAGAATTTGACGGCTATGGAAGGCATCAGGTAAATACTAATTAGAAAGCCAAAACAATATAGTTTTTCTTGTGTAAAGTGTGGATGAATATTGCTAATGCATGTTAATAGTGGTTTTTTCGTCTGCTGGATATAATTTTTGCTTTATTAAGATATTACATCCATTTTTCAAATATGTTTAAATTTTTCAGATTCATAGGAATACAATGTGTTATTTTCTCCCACGTCTTATGGATTTATGTGTACTCTTATATTGATAATCCTCAGTATGTCGAAAATGTAAGTATTTTTTCATAAAAATATACATTTAAATACTTGTAATGCTAGTTGGGTCCAAGTCATAATTATCATTATCTCTTTCTTTGTCCTAAGGGTCATCGCACTAGATTTTCTTGTCTTCTATTAAAATATAAAATATGTTCCACTAAACTATCTAAAATATTTGCAGATGTACGATCACTTTGCATGGAAGATGGTGTTAAATTCACCTCTCTGGCTGCAAGTTTTCTTTTCACTGTCCGGATTCCTGACAGCGTACTCCGTCCTTATCACAAAGGACACTAACCCTATTACCTTCGGAAAGTGTGTACTCTCCATTATAAATAGGTGGATCAGGTAAATTCACACCATTTGTTCTTCTTTTCTCGAGTTTCAGTCCTGTATTTATTTATCGTTAAGTATTTTTAAGTATCGTTCTTGTTACTGTAGTTTTGTTAATAAGGAGAATTATTAATAAGAGAAAGATTCTCTTTGTCATACTTATATATGAGAAATGCCACTTAGTGATATTATAAACATGTGCCCAACATATTTTTATCCCCATAACTAAGGTTGACACCGGTGGCGGGATTCGCGTTATGGTTTACAATATCGTGGTTCCCGCTGCTGGGGTCGGGGCCGCAGTGGGGATTGCTGGTGCGGCGCGAGGCGGCCGACTGCTCTCAGCGCTGGTGGTACCATCTGCTCTACATCCACAACCACATACCGCTCGGCAAGATGTGCATGGGACATACTTGGTGAGTCTTCATGTGTACCACGTCAATTATCGGGAGATGGAATTACAATACAACCAAAGAACGATATAGTTAATTGTGTGTCTCATGTCAGTAAAAGACAGAAGCAGATAGTTGATGTTTTGTGAACAAAATATATCTTATGACAAAAATAACAACATAACAGTGTAGCTTTCTGTTTGATCATAATACTTGTCAGTTTTAGTTTTCATTCTTTCAATAGCTAAAGTTTTTGTCTACTGTTTTATGGTAGAAGTATGGCAAACGGGCCAGCGACAATCAGGCTTACATTAATAGTCGATTATCTTCAATAGACATCTGCGAAAAGTTCCCTACCTTTGGTGTGAAGTGGTCTGTATTGATGGTGCATTGTTCTGTGTCAGGTACTTGGCAGCAGACATGCAGCTGCACGTGGCCGGCGTACTGCTGCTGCTGCTGGTGGTGCGCTGGCGGCGGCTGGTGGCGCCGCTGCTGGCCGGGCCAGTGCTGGCTGCCGCGCTCGCCGCCGGCCTCGTCACATACTTCTACAACCTCACGCCCATCATCACCGCACAACCGCCTGAGTATACCCGCTAAAGCTTTTAACTAGTCAAATCTATATACTGGAATTAGGAGATCTGTTTTTATGTTATTCTGTTACTTATTATTTACATATTTTCTTTATTTATAAATTCACTATTTTATGCGTTTTTTAATCTATTCTGCCATTCATATTGACAAAATATGCATTTACAATTTTTATTTCTACCACAAATAATTATAAAACTTGAAACTGGATGTATTATCAACCTTCTGTAATGTAGTTTTGTCAGTTAGTTTGTTCACCGTTTGTGATCCTGGAAAAAATATGTATTCTTTAAAATTTAATTTAGCGGTAGTTCACAACAACAGCGGTAGTTAACAAATGTATTTTCGGATGTTTTCAGGTTACTTCGCAATCTGTTCGGCGGGTCACAGATCCTGCCGCTGCTGTACCTGCCGAGCTGGATGAACCTCGCGGGCTACTTGGGCGGCGTGGCCACCGCCTTCCTGCTGCACTACACACAGACTAACGCTGTTAATTTAGCTGAGAATAAGGTATAAGGAATAATCATTCTTTATTATTTACGACGTAGTACTCCGCTTTGCCTGCCCCATTCTGCTGGAGAAAATTCTAGTAAGTTAACATATTCATGAACTTTGTTCCCAGCTCTTCAATCTATTGTTCCACGCGGCGTTATCACTGGGTGGGGCTGTGGTGATAGCAGGCGTAGTGTTCCTGTCGGACACTCCGCCAGCTCACTGGGTAACTGCGCTCTACGCCGCGCTCGACAGGACGCTCGTCGCTATATTCTTCAATATATTTATGTTAGGCTGCTTCACTCGGTGCAAATGTAAGTATGCCAAAGGGCAGGATTTTATACGTCACCATAAGATGGATTTTGTGAAACGGTAAAGATATTAAGTCTCTATGTGCGGTAATGTATGTATATTTGTACGGAATACTTCAAGTGTAGGTTTTATATTCATTTACAACAAAGTTTGGGTTCCCCCGCTATCTCTATCATACTACAGGATGAAGCAAGGCTCTCGGACACGTTATGAAAGGCATCATCATAAAGTCATATATATGTTTCCAGCTGTAGTCCGGAGTGCGCTGGAGTGGCGCGGCTTCCACGCGCTGGGCCGGCTGTCGTACTGCGCGTACCTCGTGCACTTCATCGTGCTGCGCCTCACGCTCGCCGGCAACACGCAGCTCGGCCACGCCTCTCTGCTCTCTATGGTCGCTATCAATTGTTATGCTGTTTCACTCTTCTACATTATCCAAACTTCATAGTTCCTATGGTCTTAGTACTTTGGTTACATCTGAGAGCCCCTTGTCTGCTCGTTTAGTGGAAGAAAGGTTTAAATACTTATCTATGACAAAGGCCTCGAGGGACTCACTCTTAACTTTAATATTGCAGATATCGTTGTTGATAACGGCGTCAGTTCTGACGTACATAGTGTCGGTGCCTCTCTGCCTGCTGGTGGAGCTGCCGGCCATACAGCTATGGAAGGCGGCAACGGGCGCGGAGGGTGCAGGGGGTGCGGGCGGCAGAGAGCGGCCGCCCGCCGCGCCCGCGCACGCCCCCCGCGCGCCCAGCCCCAACACGCACAAGTTCGACTTAGTAGCGCATATACGACGCAGCGTCGTTTAATTTTGAATGTTATTTATTAAAGGAAAGAATATACGCTAGATATGACAGTCATGACTTACAACAATGTAGGTATATCAACTCTAATATGTAAGAAAACAGTAAAATATTTCTAAGTAACGTAAGTTCTAACTTTTTATTTGATTTACAATGTAAAGTAAATGTTTTGTAAATAATACATTATTTATAATGAAAGGTAATTTTATTTCCTATCCAAATAACAGACCCTGGCTACTATCTAGCACCAAACGAAATTTGACAGTTGGAGAAGCCGCGAAAACAATATCTTTTGGAAGACCGAATGGGTCGGGTCGACTGGTAAAACACACCATAATATTGCATTGTAACGGGATTTCCATATAAATGCAAAATTTCAGCTCCATTGGTTATTGGAAAGTGAATTAAATTTAATTGATGATGAATTGATCACAGACAAGTGAAACTCAATAGATTCCTTTAAAAAATAATTGCAGCAATTGCAGATTCGTTGCCTACTTTTAACTAACAGAATCCACATACCTTTATCCGCAAATCCATTTCGCCTTCCATTTCTTTCCTTATAAAGGGTGGGAAGGGATCAAGGACTAAAATTATGCCGCCGACATGCAATTGGCTTTCTGACTACGTGACGTCATCAGGAGGAATGCTTTTCCTAGTACGTCACGTCAGCCATCGGTTCTTCTTCGGTACGGAGTTCAGTGGCGCATTTTTAAAAGCTATAACTTTGTTAAAACTCGGTGGAAATAACTAAAAAAAACTTATTATTATAATTCGTAAGGAAACTTCTACAATTTCATCTATTGATTTACTTCGAACAAATAAACTGAATGTTAATTCCAGTTGCGCTGATGTGTTCATAATGAAATCAAAAGTAGACCTCCAATCAAATTACTGGTTGGATGGTTCGCTGATTTAGTACTTTTTAGCCTTTTAACTCCAACGCTGGATTTGTAATAATGAAAACTGGACTAAATAGTTAAAAGAAATTAATTCCTTAACACAATACATTTCCTCATTGTTCAAAATTCATTTAATTTTGACTTAGTTAACTATTTAGGTCAGGTTAAAATCGTAATTGCAAATTATATATACTGTAACGTCTACAGTATAAATGCATGAGGGTCAAGTTAAACGAATCAAATGTACGTTTATCAAATAATGACCTCATGTTTTGCTAACTCACGAAATGGAAAAAATAATTTTAACAATTATACTTTATTCTGGATATTATAATTTATTCTGGATGGTTTTTATAGCTTTTGCATTTTTTGACTTCCATAGGCTCAAGCTGAATCTCACATTCGCACGGGGTCTTTTTAAAATCGCCGTAAACTAGACTTTGGCGTATTTATAATATTATAATATTTTAGTTTGTACGAACGCTTTAAATACCCTCCTGCTTCGTTTCTCGCTTCAGGGAAACGAGGATATGGTTTCTGACAAAATACTGGACAGGAAGGTAGCTGCACATTGCTTGGGAAGGCATTTTAGTGCTGCAAAGAACCTTCCGACAACAGAGCTCTTGAATAGATGAGAGGTTAACTGCTATGATTGCAGCATTTCTGAATTATTTTTTGAATTAACGTGTTATCTACATATAACAGGATAATCCTTCTTTGTTTGTTTTAATTTCGTCCCCATAAATACATTATACATACGTATAAGGAAGAAAATTAATATTCGAACTTCGAATTCACTATATAAACATGACTTCATTTTGTTATTTTTTTGGCATTTTGTTTGAGAATTTTTTTCCAAGTCGTTTTTTTTGCAAATGATTTTGTTATCCAACAAGTCACACGTTTGTTTAATATGCACAAATTATAAATTATTTTCAGGGAAGTTTTATTTGGTCATTAATTTATACGTAATTTAGTCATTCAATACCAAATTTAATTAGAGTTTACGTTCTGCTATTTTATATTATCTGTAGTATGTTTATTATTTATCTTGCTAACATTATAAACGTTGGATGTATGAATGGATGGATGGAGGTTTCTTAGAATGTAATCTCGATGCAATTTGGTATGTTCTGATGTAGAACAGTTGGAAGAACACATAGGCTACCTACGAACCCGGAAATGTTTACGGTTTGCATGAATAAGTTTCATTTACATATTTACGTGATAAGTCAGCTACTTTCACTTCCCATGCTTTTCTTATGATAAAAAGGGTGGGAAGGGATAGAGGACTAAAATTAGGCCTTCGGGACGCACACTTATCAGGAGAAACAAGGAATTGCTTCCACTTGACGCCTGTCTTCTGTGTGGTGGTGGTATTTCACCGGGCGAGCCGGGCCAATTCGTGCGAAGATGTTAAAGCGGACTCTACCACTGTTAAAAATAGTAATTGATATTTAAATGATATTCTCAATTGAACGCTTAATGAAGGTTAGAAGAGTCAAAAATATATTTTAGTGTTGCAATGCAGGCGATTATTCTGCGATTTTATTTGAAGTGCTGATAAGAACTAAATCCGCTACGGACAATTCGAAAATAATCTGAGAGACTAGACACTAGAAATATTGCATAGATTTCTTACAACACGTAGGCGAATAACAATAGCATTTTAAGATTATTTTATACCAGTTGTTGCCGTCCGCGCGAAAGAAAAAAAAACTTAGTAAGTAACCTATGTAGTCTTCCAGACTATGTTCTAGAATTATGTCAAAACACAGTGAGATCCTTGCAGCCACTCTGGAGAATATATTTTGAAGGTATTTTGATAGAGGTAGATGCCAGGAACAACATCTCTTAACCGAATGGACCTGCTAGAACCGGTACAATACCACGACCTCACAGAATACACGCCTCAAGTAGAAGTTATTTCGCGAGCAGTCAGATGAGTGCCAGCGGCCTAATTTTAGTCCTCTTCCCTTTCCCACCCGAAGGAAAAGATGGAGAAGGGGAAATAAATTTATTGGAGTGGGAAGCATGGGAGGGCGAAATATTCCCTTCCTGTGGGTCATTTCTCCATCGATTAAAGGTAAGTAACGTATCTGCAATTGCGGATGTTTATGGGCAGCGATCTTTCGCAATTTGGGCGAATTAAGGTCGCCACTTACTCGTTTGACACCTTACATAATTAAAATGGACACGGGCGGTGCAAGATGTTAACAATAATTTGAATGGGTTTGCAGAATAACCTAAATGTAAATCGTTCTTTAATTTAAATAACATGAAAAATAACTATAATGGCATAAAACTATAAAGTAAACCGCAGATTATAATCGGTGTGTATTACTATTAGTGTACTTGTCCCGGTATTTCTTTTTGTAAAATGCATATCAACGGTGATGGAACTGGTGATGGGCGTGGGATTCCGACTGGGGAAGAAATCGTTATCAGTGGAATGTCGGGAAAGTTTCCCGCGTCCAAAAATGTTACGGAGTTCATGGACAATTTGTATCGTAAGGTAAACATGTTGTAATCGTATTAGAGTTTTGAATGCGGAGCCTCAGATCTTTCGTGCTAGTGAAGCAATTTCGATGGTCCTTTTTCAATTCCGACTATTACTTTGCTATCGACTGGTTTATATATTATTAAATACAGGATATAACCCTGAGTTTTGAATATTTTAGATAAATATGGTGATAGAAGTGGAGCCGGATATACAGGACCCTGAGTACCCGAAGCATGGAGGAAAGATTGACGATATAGATAAATTCGATGCAACATTTTTCAAAGTAACGAAAAAGCAATCTTTGAGCCTGAATGCTCAGTGCAGGCAGCTGATGGGCTATGCATATGGCGCTATTTATGATTCGGGTGAGTTGTCTATAATGTGACTTTCAATTCTTATTATTAGCTTATACTCCACCTTTTGTTGTGTATAATGTCTGAAGGCCGTGTTTAGTTCCAACCACATCTTCCAATCACATTACTTTTAGGTGAAGATTTTTTGGGTCCTTCGCAAAAGTTTTCGAAAACTAGACGTTTTTGCTCTAGTAAAATACGCCTTAATTTCACTGGACGGCAATAAAATCCTCCTTTAAATCCTCCTTAAATTTCGTCATAAATTCGGAGGTCTCATTACCCTTAATCCATTTTTGTTAATAGATGGAAATCTCTGTTTAGCAATTTCTCCGATTTATGTCACTTTCTTGTAAATTGTCTGATATCTATCAAACTTCTCAAATAAGTGGGTGGAAAAGTCGGTCCGATTTTATTTTTTTTTGTTTCACCGTTCATATCTCTGATAAATGACAAAAATTATAATTTGCAATAAAGTTGCGTACTGACCGACGTTTCACAGGGAATGTTAAGTAGGTATAACATTGCCTTCTCCATTGCCGTTTAGGTGACTTTGAGCTGCTTTATGGTGACTGCAGTGAAGGATTACTTCTCTGTGCCGTAGGTCATCGAACACTTCCATCTATCACGAACGACATATACACGTCCCTTCAATTTTATTCAGAGAAGTTTATGGCAAAAAGAGAACGTGAAAGAGTCGAACATGGAAATGTTTCCACGTTCGACTTTTGCAAAATTTAATTTTGACAGATAAAGCAATTTTCGAAGATTCCCTGAAATTATTAATTTTAAATGTATTTTTAAGGAATAAATCCTGTTCAAATGCAGGACGAAAAGTTGGGCATATTTATTGCATCGTCTACTCTTGGTGATAAAGATATATTGACAGATAATTGTAATAATATGAAGACAAGTAATAATTTCTTCATAAGTGGGTAAGCAGCTCTTAACATAATATAGTTATACTTTAGAATGTTTATTTACCGGCGTATTAATTAAGAGAGTATTTTTATCATCATAAGCACAGTAATAGTAATATACAAGTAATAAACACATTTTAAGAAATTTAACGATGTGTGTAAAAACAATTCACACTGCCAGCGTGCTTGACTTAAGCCTAGTCACCCCTAGTTTGAGCGAAGGACAAAAAAGTAGAAATAATATGGTTAGAAATATTCAAGCATAATTGTGGGCTTTACTCATCCTTATTAATATAGTAAATGCGAAATCACTCTGTCTGTCTGTCTGTCTGTCCTTCTTCCACGCAAAAACTACAGTACCGATTTAAATGAAATTTGGTACACAGATAGTCTATATCTATAGCCTGGGGAAGGACGTACGTACTTTTTAACGCGAAAAAGAATTGAAAAGCGGTTGAAAGTGAGGGTGGAAATTTGTATGGGAATAACGTCATTTTTTTAGTTAGAAGCTTGAAACTTATTTTTAGGTTTAATTTTGATATAAGTAAATATGACATAAAAAGTTTATAAAAAGGGTGCAAAATAACAATGGGGGAGAAAATTTGTTTTAGAATATGTAAGGTTTATGTGAATGTTTTGTGAAATTTAATTGTTTTTAGGGTTCCGTACCTCATAGGAAAAAAACGGAACCCTTATAGGACCACTTTGTTGTCCGTCCGTCCGTCTGTCAAGACCCTTTTTCTCAAAAACGCGTGAAGGTATCAAGCTGGAATTTATATCAAATGTTCAGGTCTGCGGTCGTTAGGTGCCATGAAAAAATAAAAATTGATAAGCCAACCCAATCAAAAGATACAACCGTTTCTGTCGCAAATTTACGCAAATTTTCGACCTTCGCAAGGGAATCAAAACCTATAGGGTACTTCCCGTGAACTTAGAATTTTGAAATTTGGCACGAAGCAACATCGTAAAGCACAGATAAAGGAAAACCGTAAATTTTTAGTTCCATCATATAAAAAAATATATTTTTTGTAATTTTAATCGCGTAAAAGGGTACTTCCAGTCGACCTAGAATCTTGAAATTTGACACGAAGCAATGTGTATTTTTAGTTCCATCATATAATAAAACATTTTAAATTTTGAACTTAGTAGCCCCCTTCCTGGTAAAGGCGTAAAGGTATTAAATTGAAATTCATATCAAATACTCAAGTCAATAATACCTTTAAGCTGTAACAAAATCGAACTTCTGTATCAACGCTATAAAAAGAAAAACCAATTTAATAGGCGTATTAAACTCGTAACTAATTGCAAGAAAACCAAAACCTAACGGGTACTTCTAGTCTACCTAGATTCTTCAAATTTGGCATGAAGCAAGATGTTATAGCACACATACATTTTTAGTTTAGTTAGAAAGGCACCTATTTTCTTTATTTTTGTGTCTTTATTTGTATTAGAGTTACTACCCAAGGTGTATTAAGGGCTTGGCGTTTCAGATCTCTTCCTTTTCTCGTTTTCTTTATTCTCAATTTTTCTTTTTTCTGTTGTGCTTTTCTTGACAGGTCGTGTGTGATGTAAGTTTTTGCAGGCATTTTCTTTTTGTTTTTAAGAATCTTTTTTTTTTGTAAAGTAGTAGTCTCAATTACAATTGGTCTGATCTTTCCACTCCCCGTTTGTGCTTTTCCAAGTCTGTGCATTCTATTAATATCCCCTTCCTTGAGGGAGACGCCAATGTTGGTTAAGGTAGACGCAACGAGGTTGGACAGCTCGTCATATTTTTCTTCGTTCTTTTCTGGAAGTCCGTGGATTATGATATTATTTCTTCGCGTAGCTGTGTCTAAGTGCTGTAGCTTTTGGTTTAGTTGCTCGACTTCTTTTTTCAACTTTTCGTTTTCTTCTATAACCGGTTTCATTTTTTCGTCAATTTTTTGGAGGACAGCCGAAGTAATATTTTCTGTTAACGTTTTTGTTTGTAGTTGAAGTTGTTCTGTTAGCTTTGCATAAAGAAGTGACAATTCAGGAGTTATTGTAGTTATTGAGATCAGCCTTTGTTATTATGATTTGCTGTTTTTATTTATTTATTCCTTTTTTGTTTTTTTCTTGTTACACTATAAGCCCCTACATTCAAATTAATAATAATAAATTAACAAAAAAGTCGAAAAGAATATTTGCTATTAACATTTTGGCAGGCGCGGAATTGTTTTCCTTGTTGACGGTATGACTGAAAAAACTTTTTGTCCTTTTTGTAATCAACTATTGTTTTTTTCTCCAATTATAATACTGACGAATTGTAAACACTGGTTCCGGCTTAGTTTACTACATAATATAGTGTCTATAAACCAAAAACAACGAAATATAAGTGAATATATTATGATATACACTGAACATATTTAATGTTGTGATTTTTAGTTCTTTCACTGTTTATTTCCGCGAGATAAAATTGTCACCATAAAATAACTGCTTATTTTATCATTTACTAACACTTTTTCACCTTATTATCTACTTTTCGTAATATTATTACACTTTGAATACAGAGGTTATGATTACGCGCCGTATGACAGCTGTCAACTCAAAATAATTAAAATGCTACCCAAAAACAGTGTTACACGTGGACGAATTCGCAGGCACAGCTGATAAGATTATTACCATTTCAGCGTTTTGAACAATGAGATAGGTTACGTTGACCTAAATAGATACAAAAGTGTGTTGGCCGATGCCATAGTACACAGTCAAGTAAACGAGAAAAGCTAAAGTTTTAAAAGCTCGAACGCCAGATGCGTCCCAAAAAACAAGGGAAAAAAGGGATTTTGTTCTGATGCTACTTGGCAAATTTCTTGAGAGTCCCACATATTAATAAAATTGCTTAAACGACCAATTTCAATGATGTCTTAAAATAATAATCTTTATGATCATTAATTCACTATTATTATTTGTTTATACTCTTTCCTGATAAAAATGTGCTTTTATTAAATTTAATATAATATGTCCTTACGTTTCTACTCTTTTACTTACCAGGTCCAGTAAAGCGATGTACCCTAACAGAATATCGTATTGGTTCGATAGCAAGAGCCCTTCTTACTACGTCGACTGCGGATGCGTCGGGTCCATGGCGGTTGTCCACCTCGCCTTCAACAGCATCGTCGCCGGAGAATGCGAGGCGGCTTTGGTCGGTGGATGTAGCCTATGTCTCAGTTCTACCGTAACTCTCAACCTCATCAAGTACGTTAACTGTGGAGTTTTGTCATAGCACTTTACATTACTTTAATAAATTGGCTAATTAAAAAAAAAACAGTTTTATTATAATATATAATAGTATATCTATTTTATATTAGTTTGACAACTGACGCCTATGAAGTATCGAATTAATTGTGTATGAAGATTAATGATGTACTTAATAGACGGTAGTTATAGTGTGTCGTCGCGCACGACGAATAACTGCGAACTATCGTATATCGATCTTGTCATAACATTAATCGAACAAATAGGTATTTTATAAAGTTTCGATCTTATTACAGTTATATATAATATTTGGCTGTGTATTAGTTTCGAAAGAAAATATTTTATTAATTACATTGTGTTTCATAAACAATGATCATGAAATTTACTCAACATATCTAATGAATTGTCATCCTAATCAATCTTAAATAGACTATCTTTCATTATCCTTCATAGCGAGATGAGGTGCATGAAAATATTAGTTCGATTAATATGTATGAATCGATTCTAACTTCAACCATATGTGAATCGAATTCAGTTGCCTTTAAATATCTATGTTTTTCGTTCGTTTTTTTGTAAAATACATGGTGTTAAAATAGAAAACAGTTTACTGACGCAACACTGAAGCGATGTCCGATTGACATGATTACGTAAGCAATTGTGCAGTTCTAATTTCCCACCTGTATTATAAACATAAATAAGTTTGTATTTTTTCAAAGACTGGAAGAAGGTCTTTGGGTATTGAAGAAACCTGTCATTTGAAACCACTTGAATTTCGTAGAAAAGTCCCTAATGCATATCTAAGATTGTTAATATTCATCGTGTTGATGTCTCTTTTAGTGCTGGCTTACTATGCAATGATGGTAAAACTAAATGCTTTGATAAACGAGCAGATGGATACGTGAGGTCTGAAACCATCGGTTTCCTGTTCTTACAGAAAGCTAAGGACGCAAAGAGGTAACAATTTTAACAAAAAACATATAACTTTGGGAAAATTATAAAAGCTAAAAGAACTAAATACTTACAGAATATATGCAGAAATATATCACACAAAATTAGGATATTGTAGTTCACCGTTAAATAACAGGCAAATTGTACGTCACAGTAATTCAAATGACATCATCAAATTCTTAAAGAAATTTTATTCTGAAATCGATGTTTCTCCTCAAGAAGTAGAATATGTGGAAGCAAACGGTATCGGTAAGTTTATATTTTAATAAATAAAAAGAAGACATGAAATTCCTTAAAACAATACATTGACAAATTATACGTTTCTTTTTGAAATAGCTAATGCAGAAGACGATAAAAATGAACTAGAAGCTATCGGTGAGATATTCGGCAACAAAGAGAGGGCAGTCAAAATAGGATGCGTCAAATCTAACATGGGGAACAGTGAATCTGCTTCAGGATTATGTGCTCTTACAAAGGTATATATTATTACTTCTACGCTTTTTCATTTGTACTTTTTATTTCACTTATATACCTAATGGGAATGCAATAAACAACATTCGGAAATCTATTTTTTTTACATCTCTGTCGATTGTTCCCTATTGTTTTCCTCTCTGTTTATAATTTATGCTTATAATATATTTTGTAACATATTGAAAGTGTAAAAGAGATTTAATACAGACACACACACGCAAACACACATGCTCACATACACACAAACACGCACATCATGCTTGTAGCAACAGCAGAAATACAACATGTTGCACTACTACGCACAACACACTAATTTGCTAGCTATGTATATTGTAAAGACGAGGCGCCGGTGTCTGTAACGTAGTTCTTACCATATCAGGCTCCAATAACTTATCGGTGTTAGTTTATATGAGTGTAAACATTTAATAAATCAATAAAAATAAATAATAATAATTATGTGATTTTGTAGGTTTGTTTAGCATACAGGAATGGGGAACTTTCCGGTAACTTACATTACGAAAACCCCCACGATGACGTAGACGCTGTCCGGGATGGAAGAATTGAAGTTGTACATGAAAACACTCCTTTCAAAAGGAGATTTGCTGCCGTGAATAGCTTTTCATATACTGGCCCGATGGCACATGTCCTTTTAAAAGGGCATTACAAAGAAAAGGTTACTTAGGTTTTATTCTTAAAAATTCCTAGTATTGATAAGTATCAGTAAATAAAAAATGATGTTAAGTGAAATTTAATTCAAATTTACTCGTATTATTTTTCAGAATGTCGAGAAATATATAACAAATATACCATACTTGGTAAATGTTTCGAGTAGAACCGAGGATAACGTTGGTAACATGCTTGACATTTTAGCAGCGATGCCCATCGACGCCGAATACATTGGTCTTCTGCACAATATTCATAAAATAGTTACATCAGGACATACCGTACGAGGCTACATCATCCTGGGTAGGTTTTCCTTTTAAAGCTTACACAGAACAGTAATCGATGACAAAATAAATGCTATGATTTTGGTTACAGGTTCTAAATTTGACGGGGAAAATAAGAAAACATGTGTTTTAAGTAAAAGTATTCAACACTACAGAGGAGTCAAGCCTCCAGTTTGCTTTATGTATAGCGGGATGGGATCGCAGTGGTGTAGGATGGGAGCTGATCTCATGAATATACCAATATTTTCAGCAGCTATAGAAAAGTAGCTAGTTCGCTTTTTAACAAGATTGTAATTTAGTGTAACTTTTATTATAATATTCAAATATTTTTATAAATTTTTAGATGTCATAAAGCTCTTGAACCAAAAGGCGTGAACATCACCGATATTTTAACGTCGAAAGATCAAACCATATTCGACGATATAATGAATTGTTTTGTTGGTATCACAGCTGTACAAATTGGTCTGACTGACATTCTACGAGCGTTGGATATTGTTCCTGATTGCATCATTGGTGAGTCACGGTTACTCTGCGTCAAATCTTAGTACAACACTTTTAAAATAGTTATATATTTTATATTAGCTTTATTATAAGCTAATATTACTAAACTTTCTATTATGTATTATAAATGCTCAAGTTTAGATGGATGGATGGATGTTTGTTAGAAGGTATCTCCGGAAGGGTTTAACGGATCCCGTCGAATTTGGCATTGATGTGAAACGTATAGTCTGAAAGAAGACATAAGCCACTAATTCAATATCCTGGAAGCAATCGGACTTTTAAGATTGTATAATTTTTATTTAAACTCGAATTGCACTTGTGATAGTTAAGATGAATAATGAGATTCGGGCAGTGAGTGGTTGTCTTAAAAACGATTGAAAAATGAACTACTTTGTGTTTTCGTTTTTTATTATTCTCTTAGGGCATAGTACTGGCGAGTTGGGCTGCGCGTATGCCGACGATAGCTTGACGCTAGAAGAGACAATCCTGTCGGCGTACTGTCGTGGTCTGGCCTCCAAGAAAATTGAAGTTATACGTGGAGCAATGGCCGCCGTGGGCATGGGATACAATGACGTAATGCAACCTTTTCTTTTTCAAATGAAAATGAATGCATGAGAAAGCGATTCACTTGGTGTTTACAGGACTCAAGCTTTTCACCCACTTTTATTTTATTGTTTACATTAGGTTTATTTCAAAATCTATATCAAAATGTCAAACTGCAAAATATTGTATGTACAAATTACAACAAAGGCTATGCCATTGGCTAACAATTGTTATTACTATGGTATTTTTTTTTAAATTCATCCATTCATTCATTCATCCAGTGGCAAACGAGCAAAATTGCCACCTGAATTTTCCAAAATCATTAATTACAGATGCGTTGCCTACTTTTATTCGACGGATGAGGAGATGGGCTGGGAAGGGGACCAGATTTAGGCCTACAGCACGGACATGTATCAGACAAAACGCGCTATTACTTCCATTTTTACGTCTGTCATCTCTGTGACCGTAGTACTGCACCCGACGAGCCTACCCATTCGCGCAACAGATGTGCTTTTTTCTGGCATCCACCACTGTTGATGCTATAGGCAGTAATATAGTTTCATTTCACGCCGAGCAATGTTTTCCATTCAATCCCAATACAATTTTAATAACTTCAAAATATATATAGCTTATAGGGTTTCGTAAGAGTAGGACCTTTCAATAAAAAAATATTTATTAAAAAATATGCTGTGATTACTGATGTCCTATATAATTAAGATGTGTTTGTTTACTACTACTACTTCGCTTTATTATATTATTATAGAAGTCTACACCATTAGAATGGGAAGAGTACTATAATTGTTCCTATTATAGCATACTGTATTCGTGATGTGAGCCGTTGTTGTTGAACTTCTGTTAAAATTATCTTTTTGATATTTCATATATCACTCATTTGAGTTTGTTTCTTCCAGTTGAAAAGGATCTGTCCTACCGACATAGAGATAGCGTGTCATAACAGCGCTGGATCATCTACTATATCGGGACCTATTGATGCATTGAAAGATTTCGTTGCTTCTTTGAAAAGTCGCGACATTTTTGCAAAAGAAGTTCCTTGTGGCAACATTGCATACCATTCTAAATATGTTGCTGCTATTGGTAAGCATCCATTACTATGTGTCCGCGCGCCGCCGTTGCCATTATATTAAATTCTCCTGTTATTGAACACATTTATTTACACATAAGGGTTGATACTGAACTCGAGTAAAAGAGTCGGAAATACCACATGAATTTATTCGTTGCTTGTAAAATATAGATATGTTTATGCTATTGCTTTTATCAAGCACATTTGAAGAGCTACAATTGTTTCATACAACATTTTTATATAGGTTCTGTTACGAAGAAAACCCGAAAATGTGGTAGTGTATTGACCCAACAGTAGCCTTACTAAAATGTCGACGTTTGTGCCCACTCACTTATTATTTTGACACTGGACTTTGCAACAAAATCACGTCATTCGCGCCGAGGGATTCTAATTAATAATGTCTAAAAGTTCTTAAGTTTAGCCTACAAATGCGAAGATAGCTTAATTGTGCTATCGCATTTTAAGGGATACAACGAACATCTACTTGTCTTCTAATGTAAAATATGCGAACCATCTGCAAACTTAGTGCTTTTTATTAAAAATTAAGGAAATTTTATTTGTACGAAAAAATTAATAAATTTCATAGGAAATCTGTATTATTTTCCTTATATTATTTTTTTGCTATGGTGTTCAATCTATCTCTACCTTCACATTGTTTTCACCATTAATTAAATTGCATCACTATCAGAACTGATCATACATCATGTGGGGTCAGCACAAATGGTTTTCGTCTTTAAAATCGATTCAAAATTCGTTGTTTTCTTTGCCATTGTCTTCTAAATCATATATGTAAACATTTTACACTTACCAGGGCCATTCCTATTTGAGGCTTTAAAAGAGGTAATAAAGCATCCAAGGAAAAGAACCTCTAAATGGTTATCTACCTCGATCTTGCAGAACAGGTGGGATGAAGATATAGCGACATTGTCATCAGCGGAATACTTCACTAATAATCTACTGGTAAATTATGATTTATTTGTAGCTGTTGCTCGGAAAGTAATTTAGCCTTAGTTTTAGTTTTTTAGTATCAGTTTTCATATAAGTCCATTAGTTATTTAAATCTTTTAAGGAGTTTCGGAGTTAAAGTGATTGAAAAAGGATAGTTATTTTAATAAGATCAATTGTAATCAACAATATAATGTGCCATATATGATCTGAGTGATACTATAATAAAAAAAATCTGTCTTGCATTATTAAGAAGAAATATGAATCTTGCAACCTCTACTCCACAGAGTCCAGTATACTTTGAAGAAACAAGTAAGTTGATACCGAACGAAGCTGTGGTTATTGAAATAGCCCCACACGGACTGCTGCAGGCGATAGTGAAGCGATCTCATGAGTCGTGCGAACATGTTCCCTTAACGAGACGTGGACATGAAAACCCAACTAAATTTCTGCTCGATGCTATCGGACGGTATGAAAGTAAATTTTTCAATTAAACCTAACCTGTCTTCACACAATCTTCTTTTTGGTCAACCCACGTTAAACATTCTTCTATTCACATATGATTGTGAGCTTTCAGAGACAGATTTCAGTATATTGCCAAATATTTAAAAGATTTATGAAACGAAAAAGTACGGACACATTGCACTTCGTTGTTTTAAAAGCTATTTCAATTTCAGGTTATATCAAAGTGGTCTGAATCCGCAATTACACATGTTGTATCCTAAAATCGAGTATCCAGTCGCCACTGACACTCCGCTGCTGTCAAATCTTGTAGGCTGGGAGCACAGCGAAAATTGGTACGAACATACTTCACCTCTTTTTTCTATATTTATTATATCTTGGACAGTTCTTAGAATAGATCTTGACATATATTTATATATATACTAGATATTATATGTTCATCAGTATTAATTCATTATGCGTCATAACAACTCTCCATCTTTATTTGGAACTACTTTAAATGTGCACTATTTAATTTCAGGCCAACAATTAAGGTACTAAAGAAAATTCGAAAACAAACTCAAATTTGTAACTATTTGATAACGCTTTATGACGATGATAAAAAATCTATAAATCGTTACACTAGAAATGGTAATTCAAGTTTATAAATTAAATAATTTGGATAAATCTTCTTTTCAAACTCTAACATTTTTTTTAATTCTAGGTGTCAATGTAATTCCAGAAGCTCTACTTTTGGTTCTGACTTGGAAAACTTTAGCTATGGCAAGAAATGTCGATCATAACCAATTGTCGGTTAAGTTCGACAATGTGTACTTTAACCGCGAAGTATCATTTGGAGAAAACAAATTTGTTAAGATAAAAGTTTCTATTAACAAAGGCAATCACAGATTTGAAGTAAGCATCGTTAAATTAGAGGCAGTTGTATTTTTTGGTAGCACAGAGTGATTCTCATGAGATCTAAACTATTTGTTAGAATGATATCGCAAAAAAGGATATTGTACACTACCTTCGATCTCTAGCTAATAATAAACATAATTCTGTAGTAATCTGTAAACCAAAATCTAAAATTTAATTCGAGATTATTACTGAATTAAAAAAAATACAGACAGGTTTTCACTCACTTGATGGAGGAAGGTAATGTTTTCGCGCGTATGTACATATATATGTGGGTCTGTATGTATGTAAGTTTCTTCGTGACGGTCTAGTGCCTGTCACAACTGAACCGATTTTAAAATGTAAATAACACCTATTTCCGGAGTGTCATAGGAGTACAATCAGTAAAAACATTTGTTTACTTTTTTATTAATTAAAAATCGTGACTTATCAATTGATTTGTCAAACGAAAAAAATGGTCATTTTGAATAAACCGTAAAAGATAAGATATAGATAAGCTGCTATATTTTGTTAAAAAAATTTTGACGATCTATAATTCTTTCGTCCCTAATTTTTATGTATATCTTATGCCAACGCGAGCAAAAATATAAAATATGATAGCAATATTTAATGCCTATTATTATATTATTTAGATAACAAATGATGAAATAGTTGTTGCAACTGGACACATAACGGACGACTTTAAATCAGAAAAATGCAACTTAGAGCCAGTGAAGGAAAACTCTGAAGATGATATTTTATTGACATCTGATGAAATATACCGCCTGTTGTATCTTAGAGGATATACATTTAAGTAAGTTTTCTTAGAAAATTATGGGAGGTATAAAAATGACTTGTAATGTCCCTATGTATCCCTTCCACCGTCAAACGTATTTCCGACCCTTCACATCCTTTCCTTATTAGAAAAGGATGGGAATGGAAAGGAGGCTAAAATTAGGCATCCGGAACACACTCATCAGGCGAAACGCGTAATTGCTTCCACTTATCACTATCTAAAAGGCCGGCAACGCATCTGCGGTGCCTCTGGTATTGCTGATGTCTATGGGCATCGTTGAACACTTCGGTGTTCCCGCTGCTCGTTTGCCCCCTTCTGTTCTAAAAAAAAACTTGCCTCCTGCCTATTATGTGGTAGTGGCTTTGCACCGGGCGAGCCGGTCAATTCGTGCAACGAATGTTATTGTTGCTGGCATCTACCGCTGTTAAAGTATTACTAAATACCATCAACCGTCATCTAGTCCTAGCAATATCACGACCCCACAATAGATTGCCATTAATTGTGAGTATTTTGGGAATATTAATATACCTACCCCATGTAAGTGGCACAAGGACAGGGAGATGACTAAATTGGGATTAATTCCACATTTTCTCTGAATAATGTGTTTTACGGCGGCCAGTGCTAGTCCTCTTTCTTTTGCCGTCCATTTAAAATCTTACTTCTTACTATAATCTTACTAATTGCGAATGTTTAGATGAATGCATACCTCCTGGAGATAACTTCAAACGATTCTTTGAAGGTATCTCCGGAACAGCTTTACGGATCTCGATGAAATATGGCATACATTTAGAAAATAGTCTGGAAGAACACATAGGCTACTTTTACTTTAGTTTTTTTTCATTCCGCGGGGACGGAGTCGCAGGCGACAGTTATTTATATATTATATTTCATAAATTTTAAATATTAAACATATTTGTTTAAATTGCAGTAAGGAATTCAAAGCTATTCGCTCTGCAAACTCAACTATTAGCAAAGCTACAGTCGAATGGACTGGAGAATGGATGTCATACATCGATGCACTAATGCAACTTAACATTATGAAACGAAACCACAATGGAATATCTACACCTAAAATGATTCAAGAGTTAGTCATCGATGTCAATGAACACGTTTCGGGTGACTTAAAGGAAAAAGTTCAGCATGAAGCTACAATTTTTGACGTTTATGATACAGTAAGGTTAGTAAACTTGATTAGAAAACCGTAAGAAAATATGTTTAGGAGGAGGTACTGGAAAACTGAGTCCATAAATATCAACTTTATTTTATAACATATATTTATAGTAAAAAATTTTGGCTTTATATCAGTTATTGTGCACTATATAAAGCATTGGTTCTGAGTTCCAGATTATATATTAATTTCCACAAGTGGCTTATCTGGTGGCTATTTTCAGATGCGGTGGTGTGACTATTAAAAATATGCTATTTTCTGACAGAACTGTAACTCGCACGAAAGTGTCTAGTATTTTATTAACTGAAAAAAACTGGTCCCTCGCTATAGGAGATAATATTGTATCGGTAAGTTAAAAGAAATATTAGTATTAGAAAACAACTATTAGAGCAATATTGTGATATAAGTAATAATTTAAAATAAAGTTAAAAACGTTTCTAATTAAGAAAGATGACTACGCATTGGAAGAGTTCCTACATATATAAAATAAATAGGCCATATTTCTGTCAATAACCACAGTACATACACCACCACACATTAATTTAGTAAATTTGTTATATTATTAAGAATATTTATGAAATTATTAAGAAGAATATGTAACACGCCTGAAAAAGGCATAAATGTGCAAATAAATAAATTTATTAAACGAATAAGTGATAAGTGAATATTGTTAATATTAAACAGTAAATATTAATTGCCTTAAAAATTTACGATGAAAATAAAACCAAATAAAGCGTTTCCTTTGATCAGGATCGTTGCGGAGATTGTAACTACACGCATGTTTCTGCAAGCAACAGAGCTGAAGAATTTAAAGTAACATTGAAAACGCCGAATGATTTTGAGAGTGTCAGTCTTGAGCAAATTGCTACTCCGAAATCCCTTCCCAATAAGACTATAAAGGTAAGTTCTTGGATTTTATAGCGTAATTAAAAAATAAGTTATCGCAAGTGATATTTTTAATATACATATAGGTCTATTACGCCGGAGTATCACAAAGAGATTGCCAACAATCTATTTTCGGAAATAATTATGTCAGTTTGGATTTGGGTATGGACTTCAGCGGGAAAGATGTCAAGTAAGATGTTACATATAGACACTTCAATTTTATTCTTATATATTAATATTAATTTATATTATATTTTTTGTATTTTCTGTTTGTCAGCGGCGAGCAGGTGATGGGGTTGTTGGCGAAGGGAGCGCTGTCGAGCGTCGTGGTTCCAGACCCCGAGCTGGTGTGGCCTGTACCGTGCCACTGGAGCTTGCAGGAGGCTGCCACCGTGCCCTTGGCCTATGTGCATGCTTTCTATATAGTCAGTATCTATTTTGTTCCTTATGAGCGTCTTTTACAAGAATACTTTTAATGTGACTCCCGCTGGGCAAGAATAGATGTTCACTCATTCATATTACGTTTGGCGTTTCTGTTCAGCTCAGTAAAGCAAAGTTGATAAGTGGAGATCGAGTGTTGGTCATCGGCGGGGCGGGGACGTTGGGCCTGGCCCTCATTTCTGTTTGCTTGTCGCTGGGCTACGTCGTCTATACAACTGTCAGCACTTTGCGTAAGAAAGAAGCCTTGCTCAAGCTATACCCAAATCTTAAAGGTATGGAGAAATTTATATATATTGACTATACAATCTATTGGAAATTGAAATATCCCAGTAAATACGATACAATACGATTACATACGAATACGATTGAAGCTGAGTAATTCAATGTTTACTGTTCGCTACTGGAATTAGTAGTTTTATTAGATGTGATGATTATGTTATTATTACGTTATTAACATTAAGCATATTTATTTATACATAACAGATTAATATTATTTATTTTTCAGAAAACGATATAATATGTGAGGTGAATGATGAAATTTTATATGATCGTATCGTGATACAAACTGACAATCGGCTGTGCAAAGTAGTTGTAAGTTGCGCATCTGGCAGATTACGTGAGGCGAGTTCTTGTTTTTAGCTATCTCTTAGTGGATATTTCAGCCGTAGAGCCTATCGTTTTGATACGTTAGATGAAATATGTGTTGAAAATAAAGTGTGTATCTTTTAAGGTCAATAAAGGATTAAAGAAACAGTTTTTCACTGCAATAACCCCAGTGAGTTATTATTAGCCTTCAATTTGCATCTTATAACTTTGGTTACTTTAACTGCAGGTAGCAATGAAATGCGTTGGTTCTTTAGGAACGTTTTTGGATGTCAATCATCATGACGTGGAATTAAACAAATCTTTTGGGATGAGCTATATGTGGCAAAGCAGGAATTATACATTTGTCAATTTATCCAGTTTATTTGAGAGAAACATTAAGGCGGAGAAACAGGTATTCGACATCCATTTAAATAATAGTAAAAAACGTCGGTAAGGCCGCAAATTGATTAGTTCATCTAACTTGGAGTTTTATTTGTCGCATACAGCATGCGAGCAATCCCCGTATGCTGTAAAACGACAAATGAAAGTGATCAGACGATGTAATGTAAGCGTTGTGCATGGACTTAGTTGACGAGAATAATGCGCGGTAGGGAATGGTAAGGACTAACTGCCCTTATCTCTACGGAGAGTCGGTCCAGTATGTGCTACTCCTCCAGACATCACTATCAGCCGGCATATCTGAAAAAAATAGCAACGGATTTACATAATTTTTTTTTCAATTTCATTGTAGGCAATTAAATTCGTGCTCGCCAAAGGTATTGCCAATGGGGTTGTGAAGCCATTACCTTCAATAACGTATGACATTGAAAAAGTGCCAAGGGCACTTAAAATGCTCTCATCAAAGAATAACATAGGAAGAGTTTTAATAAAAATGGACACGCTTCCTAAAAACAACATAATTCCTCGGTAAGCATATGTACAGAGGAACATTTATTTCATTCACTGGGATCTGTGCTAAAATTTTATGAGAAACAAAATGATTTGATGATTTCAGAATCACTTGCTCTTCGACAGCAACATATCTAATTGTTTGCGCAGAAGATGTTCTTAGTTTGGAATTAATAGAACTTTTAATTTGTCGCGGTGCCAGAAACATTACAATTATTTGGAATGGATCTGCAACTGCTTACTTATTGTACAAAATAAGGTGAGTTTATCCATCTATGCATTATTTGTTTCGAACTTTAAACTTTCCGCGGACGAAGTCTTGGGAAAAAGTTAGTAAATGTATCAACTCCTTACAGATATTTCAAAAAATCTCATACATCAGTAAATATAGTTTTTAAAAATGTAATAAATGATCAGGAATGTACTAAGGCTGTAAAGGAAGCTGGCGGTTCACTCGATGGCGTATTCTTTGTTGTTGGCAAAAATGAAAAACATTCTGATGATTTATCAGAAGAGCAAATACTTTTGGCAAGAAAAAAAATTCTCCTGTCAACTATTGCAAGCTTGGACTTTGCTACACGATCTCTTTGCAAGAATTTAAGGTATGCCATAAAATTATTCTATTCGGGTTAAAGTAATTTGATTGTAAAAATAATGAAATGAAAATTGTTTTAGATACTTCGTTATCGTGAGTGAATTGTCCCGGAATATTTATGATACAAAAATTTATTTAGAAGCTGAAAAAATATGTAAGGAGCGTCAAGCTGTTGGTCTTCCGGGATTGACTTTTGTAACTGAAATGTCAAATGAGGTAGATAAATCGTTTTACCAATTTATGGTGCATACTCGTACATTGAATTACTCTTGCTTATACACAAATTATCTCTTCATTTACAGTTGTCTAAATACTTTGACTCGAACAACGATATTTTAGCTGAAACAATACCTGAGGTGCTCAATACATTGGAAAGAAGTTTGTATATTAATTACCATTACATTAAGGCTGTACTAGAGCCTTGCAGCGATACATGTTCTCTGGCAACTGGACGAAATGACATTGGTAAAAGCAAATACTTCTTTAAATATGGTTTTATTAAAATTTCATCAATTTTATCAGAAAAGACTTAAGACAATAATTCCACTAATTCCACTTTCAATAATCGTAAACTTTATTTTCTATTCCATAACTATGTTACTATTATTAATAACTTAAGTACTTGTATCGACAATTTTACTTTTATGAGATGTACAATATGCATGCATGTGTGTTTAACATGAGACAATTGTAATAATATTAATCTATAATATATTTTTTAATACTTTTTACAGATCCCAACACCACGGTCGTTGCATTTAAAACAGTTAACGAAAATGAAAGAAGAGAAAAAGGGAAGGATATTTCTGAGTTCAGGTATGATATTACTCGTGTGGTGTTTGTGAATATCACACCTTTCGATAATGATTAACTAGGTTTCAAATTTGATCTTGGAACTGTAAAAGCTAAAGTTACTCCTTGACATAAAAAAATCTCTCTGAGACTTCGTTATATTTTTACTTTAATCTTGAATTGAGAATGACTAACTTCATCTTCAAAACATGTACATTATTCGCTAATTTCTTATAATATTTCTGATTTAAAAGTAACAATGGCGCTTTATATTTCAGTTTCACTAACGGCAATGGAGATTCTATGTCGGAACAAAGCAATGGATTCCGTGTATTTTATTCTTATATTGAGTCTGACGTCAATGAAATCACGGGTCATCCTCTAGTTAGGATGTCCACCAAAGCCTATCAATATTTCGAGGTATGGTATCAAAATTGGCAAATAGTCGTATAAGGTTATACGTGAAGAGAGAAGAAAAAGTTATACAAAGCACATGATTCAATGTTGATATTTTTGATAACAGGACAAATTTGAAATAGATCCAAGTGTGACGCATCTGATACTTATACCTGGCTTCGAAGGTCATCACAGAATATTCGAGGATCTCTGCGAGCCGTTGAAGATAAGAGCCGCCACTATGAAATTGGACACAGATTTAAACAGTTCCAGTATTCAAGAAATGGCGTTGAATATATACAAGGTTATCATTGCTATAACATTAAATGTTATCAACATAAACATTTCTATTTTATTTCTATTTGTTTGTACTTAAAACTTTTTAATAAGGGAATAAAATAATAAATGTGTATTTTTCAGATACTGTCAAGGAAACTACACTTTAATAAGAAGTTTTATTTGTTGGGATATTCTTTTGGTGTGAACGTGGCCCTGGAATTGGCAGCTTTAATAGAGCAACAAGGTATTGTGTTACATTATTATTTCCTGCTAAGATTTTGTAATAAAACTTTGTGGCAATATTTTATTAAATATTGAATGATGCAGGTGAGCGCGGTATCGTCTACTGCTTGGACAGCAGCCCTGATGCCCTGAAGCATCTGATGAAGACTTATGCCGGTGATTTATCGAATGCCAATCTGCAAAATGTAGTCGCCGCTCGTATGTTTCATCTGACGACTGGATTAAATAGTGAAGAGTTTATGAAGGAATTGGAGACTATTGACAGCTGGGACAAGAAGATTGACATATTCATTCGACGTGTTAAAAAACTAGTTCCGTATTCACATGATTATATGAGATCTTTGTTAGAAACGACATATGATAGATTTGTATTAGCGAGGGAATATCAACCGAATCTTAAATTAAATTCTGAACTGATTCTTATAAAGTCAACTGCTTCTGCCGAATTCGTTAATCTACCTGACGATTATAATTTGGGAAAGTACTCGGAGAGACCCGTCAAAGTTTATAATATTGACGGGGACCATGCCTCGGCCCCGTACGATGTTAGAGTACCAACTATTATAAATGACTCCCTTGAAACAAAACTGTTGGATGAATTTAATAAGACAAACTCATGTCAGACGTATTTGTTTTATGAATGATTTTCTATACATGCTAAGTATGTGTCAGTGCGGTGCATAACATTTTCATTGTATTTGGTTAATATTTCTTATTTAATTTTTAATATTGTTTATTTAAAAATTGTGGTTTTGGACATATGAAAGTAATTAAAATAAATTATTATTGTTGAATCAGAGGTTTTATTTATGCTTAATAGGTTAATAGTTATACTAATAACTATGTACTATTATTCAACTATAGCAAAATATGCAAACTATGAGGTAGCCTGCTCCGAAGTGGGTAATGTTAATGTTATTGTTATACAAATGACAGTAACATCGTAACATACAACAGTTTGCAGCAGCATTAGCTACACTACTACCTCACGAATGACCCGTTCGACCGGCGCAATACTATGATCACACAACGGAATGCGTTACATGGAAGAAATTAATCACGCGTTTTGTCTGATCAGTGTATGTATATAACTAGCGGCGGCCCAGTTATAATAGGAAAAGCCGAAAGTGGTTGACTTGGGGGATTGACACGTTATTGATGCGTCTTTCTTTTTGATAAAAGAATTGAATTTTTAACTTCTTTTTTACTCGACTGACAAAGTGCATTGTTTTAGCAAATATGTAAGTTTGTCTTTAAATTCTGTTGTGCCGGCCTGTAGCCTAAACAACTGGACCGATTTTGTCGAGTGAGGTGTCATAACAAGTCAGCTGTTGACCCTTGGACCGTTAATTAGACCGTTCATTTAAGTCCGTAAGCTCGACTCTGCTATATAACGACTGAGTTATTGTCCAATGAAATTGGGCCCTTGCTTGACAGCCTACTGAGGCTAGATAAATTTTGTTCAATACACAAAATTCATTAAGTTTCAAAATCAATAGGGATAAAACAAAAATATGAAATGAATTCCTCAAAATAATGCATTGGACCTTTAACTCGTTTAATTCAGGTTAAAAGGTTATTGACGTCGACGTAAAATTAAATATCACAAACTCCTTTGTAGTATAATTTCTTTAACAGAGATTCTCAAACTTTTTACAAATCGAAAACGCCTTTGAAAATTCACTAGTATCAGTAAAACCTCTGCTTTTAGATTTCTTCTTCAGCCTGTGAACCCTTAACTTTCTTTACCGTCATCGAACCCCCCTGACGAGCTGCCGTCAACCCGTCACTCGGACCACTGGGCAAAAATATCAATGTCTTCAGTATTACTGCATCGCCAGCAGGGAAGAGGGCGCACTTCTTGGGTCCCATACGTTTCTTGTAACTTGTTTGTCACATATTTTTTTTATTCAACATAAGGCTTTTATTCATCGAAAATACAGTTCACGCATCGAAAATACATTAAACCATGCGGACGTGCGTTTGGTATGAGTTTCTCTATTTTTTGTTCACTTCAGATTCATTTGCTAATTGGACAATTTAGACTCCAAAGTCTCGTCTGACGACTGGCATGGACAATTTAACATTGTGTGCACGGAGCGCGTGCTACGCGATGCTAGTGGCGCGAGGATACAATTTAGTTTCGAAGATTAACATTGCCTAGTGAACGAAGGGACTAAGACACAAAGTATAATATGTGTGTACACCTGTTGCTATGACAAGTTATTGAGAGCATAGCGTCTAATGAATTTACCCCTGAATTAAAAACATTCGTCACTCTGTTCATTTATTTTAGAGCTTCTTCCTATAAATCCCATTAAAATCGAAATCGGTACAGCCGTTTGTGAGATAGCTGAAGCAACCGCGATTTGCGGATAGATAGACAGAAAACATTTTTAAAAATTGTTTCCATCATATATATTTGCATTTTTTTTAAAATTGTATATACATATGCTTTGATTGTATTCAGTTTCACTTATGGTTATGATGATTAATTATAAATTTTTTAGCATATGTACTTAAATGACATTGTCAACTGAATGCACAATACAGGTTTTACAATTCACTAAACAATACATTTTTTATAATATTGGCAGTAATTCTGCAATTTTATTCGAAAAATACTTACAAATAACAGATATGAGGCTTATAGACATCATATTTTACACGGAGGTATTTTTACTCCGTATGCGAGCACTGTAAAATAATTTTATAAAATGATCTTCCTAAAGGTCTCCCACATGGGTAAAACTATGTAATTAGAAATATTTTCCTCCGCCTATTTTCATTTAAATTAGAATTTAAAATTGAATATTTGAAAATTACTACACTTCCTGCAAAATTTATCAGGAAATATTTTGCCTTTGACTGAATTATTTGAAAAAGTACACAAACACATTTCAGCGTAAATAAGCGACTATTATCAATTGCGGGTTATTTTGCAGGATGACCCACCCTTATTTTAATAAAATATGAAAATGATTAAAATAAAGTATATAAAAGAAAACCGAATGGACGGAGTTTATTAATATTATTGTATTTGTTCCGATTTAAGTTTTTGTACTGAAATGCGTATCAACGTTGATAGAACAACTGCTGATAGTCGTGGGGTGCCAACTGGTGATGGGCGGAGGATGCCGTCTGGTGATGGGAGGTGTATGCCGATTGGTGATGAAATCGTCATAAGTGGAATGTCGGGAAAATTTCCCAAATCTGAAAATGTTATGGAGTTTATGGAGAATTTGTATAATCAGGTAAAAATGTACTATAAAGATAACGACTAAATAGCTATCTTCAAAATATGACAAGATGTAAACATATCATTGAATTGAGAATTCGATGGTACAGCGGACTGTTTTACCTAGTACCCAGTAGTGATATTAATATTTCATTAAAAAATTTATCAAAATAAGCTCAATTTTAGTTAGACATGGTGATAGAAGTGGAGACGGAAATACAGGACCCCGAGATCCCGAAGTATCAGGGAATGATTGATAACATGAATAAATTTGATGCAACATTTTTCAAAGTAACGTATAAGCAAGTATTAAGTATGAATAATCAGTGCAGACAGGTGATGAGTTATGCATACGGCGCTGTTTACGATTCAGGTAAGTTATCTGGGTATTGTTTAATTATTAATACTTACTACTAGCTCATTTTTCTTCTCTACCACTTCTTCGATCTGTACGTGGTTGCCATAAGAGAATTTTTGGTCTCATTTGGGAATTTTATAAAATAGTTTATAATGTTATGAGTCTTTTATTTTTAAGGTATAAATCCTCTACAAATGAAGAACAAAAGGTTAGGCGTATTTATTGCGTCGTCCAACGTTGGTGACAAACCACTGTTGTCAAATGATTACAAAAACGAACTCAAGTCAACTAATAATTTCATCATAAGTGGGTAAGCTTAATCTATATTTATAATTTAGAATGTATATTAACGAATTAAAGAAGAGACTATAGTGAAAATAAGTTCCCGTTTGTGTAAGTTTTTTTATATCCGTGGGTCTAGACTAACTTTTACAAAAAAGAACGAGCAAGTAGTCATCGTATCGTATATTAGGAAGTCAAGACAGCCACAGTCACATCACAAGAACGGAAATTGCTCCAATGACAAGGAAAATGATGCCCTTAAAAAACAATATTTATAACAACGAATCTTTTATCATTGTTTGTTTGGTCTTTATCCTAATAAAATGCGTATGATATTCAGACTCAATAATATCGTAATTCTTTCTAATATTTTTAACAGAAGCTGTAAAACTATGTACGCGAACAGAATATCGTACTGGTTCGACAGCAAAAGCCCTTCTTACTACATTGACTGCGGATGCGTGGGGTCCTTGGCGCTCGTCGACCTCGCCTGCCACAGCATCCTCAGTGGAGACTGCGAGGCGGCGCTGGTCGGGGGGTGCAGTATGTGTATCGGTTCCACCGTTACTATGAACTTAAACAAGTACGTTACTACTTAACCGTTGAGTTTCACTGACATAACACTTTTACTAGACATATTGTAGTTTCTATAATACTTATTTAAGGCAATGAGAGGTCTACGGTTAATGACTAAACCAATCATCATTAGAATCTCTAAACATATCTAAAATTATTAATATGAAACGTGATGCTTCTTTGTAGTGCTGGCTTACTGTGCAGCGATGGTAAAACTAAATGCTTTGATAAAGAAGCAGACGGATACGTCAGGTCTGAATCCTTTGGTTTCCTGTTCTTACAAAAAGCTAAGGACGCAAAGAGGTAATAATTTAAAAAAAAAATATAACATTGGAAAAATTGTAAGAGCTAAAATAACTTAATATTTACAGAATATATGCAGAAATATATCACACAAAATTAGGATATTGTAGTTCACCGTTAAATAACAGGCAAATTATACATCACAGTAATTCAAAGGACATCATCAAATTCTTAAAGAAATTTTATTCTGAAACCGATGTTTCTCCTCAAGAAGTAGAATATGTAGAAGCAAACGGTATTGGTAAGTTCACATTTTTATAAATAAAAAGAAGACATGAAATTCCTTGAAACAATATCTTGACAAATTTTACATTTCTTTATTAATTAGCTAATGCAGAAGACGATAAAAATGAACTAGAAGCTATCGGTGAGATATTCGGCAACAAAGAGAGCGCAGTTAAAATAGGATGCGTCAAATCTAATATGGGGAACAGTGAATCTGCTTCAGGATTATGTGCTCTTACAAAGGTACATATAATTACTTTTACTCTTTTTCATGTCATTTTTTTCACTTTTTTACATAATGATAATGCAATAAACAATATTTGAAAATCTCCATTTTTTTACATCTCAGTTGATTTGATATATATTGTTTTTCTTTCTGCTTACATTATGTTCTGTAACATATTATGTGAAGTGTTTTTGTAGGTTTGTTTAGCATACAGGAATGGGGAACTTTCCGGTAACTTACATTACGAAAACCCCCACGATGACGTAGACGCTGTCCGGGACGGAAGAATTGAAGTTGTACACGAAAACACTCCTTTCAAAAGGAGATTTGCTGCCGTGAATAGCTTTTCATATACTGGCCCGATGGCACATGTCCTTTTAAAAGGGCATTACAAAGAAAAGGTAAACATTTGATTTCATGAGAGATAAAATTTTAGGGATTTAAAAATTTACAAATGTGCAAAAAAAAATATTATAATATCAAAGTACTTACAAAGAAAAAAACGTTTCAAATACTTTGAATCAAGATTTATGTGGAATTCAAG